CAAGTAAACGCCATCAGAGGAGCCATCTGCCCCGGCAGCATCAGGTCTTCCACACTAAGTCAGGGCGCTCAGAGGAGGGGGAGCATAGACCCCCACCTATAGAGCGCCCAGGAAGCTACAGTCGACCACCGCTCCCGGGGCAGAGGGCCCCTTCAGAGGAAACACTGGATTAAAATGAGTAAAAATATAATAAAAGAGCTAATATAAATGACAAAAGTTAGAAAATAAGTAATAAATAAAATCATATAGACAATAAAATAATAATATTAAATAATAAAACTGCTAAAATATAATCATATAAAACATGCAAAGCAAGTAATAAAATATAATCATGGTAAACAAGGAATAAAACTGTAGTAAATATTTAGATAAAAGCTAACCTAAAAAGATGGGTCTTGAGTCTGGACTTAAAAACATGAACGTTCTCTGCAGCCCTGACGTCCTCTGGCAGCTCGTTCCAGAGGCGAGGGCCATAACACTGGAAGGACGCCTCGCCGTGAGTGTGTGTCCTGACTTTACGGATGACCAGGAGACGCCTGCCAGAGGAGCGCAGAGTCCGTGAGGGTTCATATTGTAAAAGCAGTTCTGAGAGATAAGAAGGCCCAAGACCATTAAGACACTTAAAAACCATTAGAAGAACCTTAAAATGGATCCTGAAACATACGGGGAGCCAATGCAATGATTCTAAAACTGGTGTCATGTGCTCCCGCCTCCTGGTCTTCATCAGGACACGTGCTGCTGAATTTTGTAGAAGTTGTAAACCTGAGATGCTCTTTTTAGGAAGACCAGAAAGCAGGGCATTGCAGTAGTCTATCCTACCGGTGATAAAAGCATGCATCAGCGTCTCCGTATTGGCCCGAAAGAGAATGGGACGGACTCTGGCGATGTTCTTTAGATGATAAAAACCTATTTTTGTGATATTTTTTTATGTGTGGGATAAAAGTCAGCTCAGAGTCAAAAATCACACCCAGGTTCTTCACTTGATTAAATGGATTAAAAGACAGAGATTGTAATTTCGGTAAAAGCTTCGCTCTCTGGGCCTCAGGAGCAATGACTAAAACTTCAGTTTTGTCCTGGTTGAGCTGGAGAAAGTTCTCTGCCATCCAGGATTCAATGTCTAAAATACAGTTAAAAAGTGCATCCATTGACCGAGAGTCATCAGGAGACATGGAGATGTACAACTGTGTGTCATCAGCATAATGGGCTCGAGACACGGGAGGCGACATACGACCGCGATCAGCGAAATTTGTCGCTGTCGCTTTTATTACCTGTCACACGGGAGGCGATCCACGGCAGCGGCCAGCGGCAAAGCCGTCTACGCGTTCTGTTCCATGGAGAAATCGAAACTTCCGTTGTTTTGTTTGGCTGTGTCAGGTTGGAGGGAATTAAGGTAATTTAGGCGGTTCAGAGTTAATAAGGCGGTAGATATGATGTTTCACAAGGTGCTGCTAGAGTTATGTGAAATCTTACTTCTGATTTTACTATATAAAACATAATAATAATCAACTTCTCCTTCATGTTTGCTCGGAGATGTGCGGAGCATTATGTCCGCTCATTGGTCAGTGAATGAAACCTCCGTTGATTGGTCCTCGTCCGAGCGACAGCGATGAAAAGTTGAAAATGTTTCAACTTTCTGGGATCGCGTCGCTGGGTCGCCTGTGCACGACACGTGCACGAGTGCAAAATTTCACACGCACGTTTTTCGCGTTTCGCTTGGTAGGAGGGAGACCCGCGATTATCGCTTTGTCGCACATGTCTCATTGAAAATGAATGGAGGAGAGGCGATGTCGCCTCCCGTGTGTCAAGCCCATAACTGTGGAAGTTCACCCCATGTCTCCTGATGACTCCGCCAAGAGGGAGCATATAAAGATTAAAAAGCACTGGGCCTAAAATTGAACCCTGAGGCACACCCATGTAATCCCATGGACCCTAGAGGAACAGATATCCAAACTCACCATGAAAGTCATGTCTGTGAGGATGAATAACATGAGATTATTTTAGGCACAGACAACATCTCCCTTACTTTTGAAAATCTTGCAACGTGCTTGGTGGATAAGCAGGTAAAAATAATGGATAGATGGGTTTCAGGAGGTCATTAAAGAAACTGCGCTCATTAAACTCTGCCTTGTTATTAACTCATGAACATGTTGTACTTTTAGAGAATGTCAGTTTGTCACTTACAAGCTGGGTCTGTTGAGTCTGTTAAAGATGAATTAAAGATGTTTCACCAAGTATATATTTTTTCTCTTTTTCCCCGTACCCTGTCTGGCTGAGAAGCAAACAGAATTGATGTCTGAATGCTGGTGACAAGCCTTACAGATTTACTCTCAGGTGGATCATCAAAGCTTCTGCCTGTTACTTAAAACTTTATTGTTATTGTTTTTTGGATATTTAGTAATTCCGACCAGACATGACAGAGGGGAAAGAGAAAGGGAGAGACAAAAGGAGGATGGGGAGAGGGGTTTCCAAAAAAATAAACATTCCTCACATACCTGCTTAAAACTGGAACACTGGCTAATGGAACATGATTTGACAAGTGCAAACACTGAAGTATTAAAAAGTAAAGAATTGCTGTTGGCTTGAAAAATGTGCAGTAGGGTGATGATCCATGTAGAAGATAAGCTGCCTCAGATGCAATACTGAGACCCAAATGGATAAAAAGGATGAACGCAGAATCCCTGAATGTCCAGTAAACATCTGTTTACATTCTACCTGAGCACCTTACTGCATATTTGGCCAAGAAAATTTTGTCACCTTGCAGTTTTGTGTTAGCATGATGTGATGTGCTTTAGGCCTAGTCCATGTTCACGTTTTAAGTCCAGGTATCATTTTACCTGTAAAACCTCTAAAATACATCAGAGTAAAAATACCTTTGTTATTAATAGGAAATTAACTCAACTTAATAACTTTATAATGCTTTATAATGCTTTTGATTTTTACCTTATCTAACTTAATTTTTATGTCCATACTTAACTCTGTTGAGTTATGGAGGGACTTTAGATGATCCAACAGAATGGCTGTGTGTTTGTTGTAAGTTTGAACTAGACGCCATCCCCTTAGTCAGGTTTGCATAGCATTCTGGGATGTTTTAAGACAGAAATACATCAGTAGCTAATGAGTTGTTCCTAGTTAGCTGAAATAAAGCAAGGGCACATGCACACACTCAACAAGGTACGCTACCTGATACTTGGGCAGATGGCTGGATTTACCAGCTTCCGGTGTGTTACCGGGCAAATCCTTTGCTATATGTTTTTGGTTGCTACAGGTCTGTGCTCCTCAATACATTTTTTTCCTGCTTGCAGTCAATAGGATCAGATGTTTTCCTCTTTTCTCCTTCCAACCCTATCATCTCTGCCAACTAGGGATGAGCGAGTACACCACTATCTGTATCTGAATCTGTTCAACCAACTAAATTATCTGTATCTGTACTCGGAATGGACGTGGCATAGCCCGGAAGTGGGCGTGGTTTAACCAGAAGTGGGTGTGGTTTACATCAATATATTATTTTATGTCTGAAATTGATATGGATTGATCAGAAGTTGATATGTGTATTGTTTATTTGAAAACTATTTACAGAGCAGCCTCAGAATTTTTGATCGCAATAGTAAAGAAACTATTACAGAACAAATTTTTCGATAAAACCAGAACATTAATATTTAAGTGCATGAGTTAATGCATCTGAACTCATTCAGTAGGAACTAGGAAATATGAAATGCTAGAACCAGACACAACTTTATATATATTGTTTTTATTTTAATTTGATTAAACTGATTTTTTTCTAAACGTTCTTAACATTTTCCCACACAAAGTTAAACAAACCAATGTTGATTAAGGTGTGTGTGTGTGTGTGTGTGTGTGTGTGTGTGTGTGTGTGTGTGTGTGTGTGTGTGTGTGTGTGTGTGAGAGAGAGAGAGAGAGAGAGAGAGAGAGAGAGAGAGAGAGAGAGAGAGAGAGAGAGAGATAGAGAGAGGGAGAGAGAGGGAGTTAAAACAGTAAAAAACCCGACCGGAGCGGAGGTAGTGACAGCACGTCAGCTCTGTCTTGTCAAATGCACCATGTAAGTTACGACAAAAGTAACTTTAAATATTCAACTGAAAAAGAGGCGAGCTGAAGAAAACCTAGGGAAAACTGAAGAAACGTGAGCAGCAGTGAAGCAATCACAGCGAGATCCGTTACTGTCTGTGTGTGTGCGTGGATGAGCCAGACTGATTGCACTCCCGGCCGGTTGCAGTTTTGTGTGTAGGGAGGGGCGGGCGCTCTATGTGACTGGCCAATCACAGAGCGTGAAGACAGTCAGTTACCCAATGAGGATTTTCCTTCAGCACGATTACAGATATTTACGAGGTTTACTCGTTTCACGTTCGTATTCATCAAAAATGCTTTATCCGTACTACCGGATACTCGTCTGAAACGAGTATCCGGCTCATCCCTACAGTGCCAACCTCTGTCCTGTCTCCTCTACCTGAACGCATGTCTGCATTCTTTCTGGATTTTCTTAAACCATGGGTCTGGTGAGCTGGTCTGTGAATGCAACTGATGCCTTTTTTTCCGCTTTACAAAATAAACTTTCCATGGAGGGCTCAGACAACATGTATACATTTTAATTCATGGTCACTGGGTTTGTTTTGTTTGGAGTTGGTGGGTTCCCATCGTAAGATTTTGGAGCTGACTAGAGCATTTGGCAGTTTTCCTGAGAAGGAATATGTCATTTTTTGGACTCTCAGACTCAGACGTTGCAAGAGATGAATCGCAAACAGGTTTCGCTGAGCAATATTCACACTGCGTTTTCAGAACTCCCATGCAGAATGGAAACTAACATGGAGAAATTTGCAGCTCAGTTTGATGGAAACTAACCCCTGATTTGGCTTTTTGGAACACTTGAGACCGGGAAGGACTGTAGGTAGAGAGGGAAATCACAGCTTTCACTAGGTGTTTAAGGAAACTGACATTGCTGCTGACATTTTTACTAAAATTGAACCAAAAATTAATGGTAAATTTACCTGAAAGCCAAGCAGAATACAGAGGTACCAGGGGGGCCTGTCATTGATGGAGTAAACCAGATCTACAGCTTTGTCCAGAGTTTCTCCCAGGACTTCCTCAGTCTGTGGTTCCACAGCTTCGTCGGCCATCTGTGGCTGTTCATCACTGTCCTTGGAAAAAAAGGAGAGCTAAAGTAAACAACACATGATTCCTTGGGTCCCAGTTATCCACATTGCAACAAGGGAAAAAAATACATTATTCTCTGAATTGCATTCTTTAAAACTGCATGGCTTGTTTGGATGAACATCAAAACCAAAGAAGAACCATACCATGAACCAGTCAAACTTTGTTACTGCTGTTATATCACATCCAAATGTCCCCTTGCTGCTTTTTCTTTGCCTTTAAAATGTAGTATAATGCAATAACTAACAACATTTCATTTAATTACAGTGGAATTAAATGAATTATCTTTATCACATGGTTAAGTTGGCACGTGTATGAGGAGGCCTGCATGTGTCGAGTTGCTCAAAAAGATTAAAGGCTAACTGGCTAAATTTAATCATTAAATATAAATGATGGAAACTCTTTCCATTCACTTGAGTCAATTCAATGCAATTTTTTAAAGGTGCTTGTTAGCAGACTCTGTCACATTTGTAAACAGTGTGTAAAAACTAAAACACAGCTGCCAACTGCTTGAAACAACAGCTTTTTATGTTTCTTGTTGGATCATTATTTTTTTTGGCTTTGCTTTTTAATTCTTGTGAAAAAAAGACCAGCTGTTTTCCTTTTGTTATCACATTTAGAATCGCTTACAACTTGCCACCAAAATCTGAGACCATGGTCATGAGTTGATAAAAGTGTAGAATGCCTTCTCCAGGCCAGGGGTGAGGTGCTGCCCCAGGTGGAGGACTTTAAGTATCTCAGGGTCTTGTTCACAAATGAGGGAAAGATGGATTGGGAGATTTGACAGACAGATCGGTGCAAAGTCTACTGTAATGCAGGCATTGTACTGGTCTGTCATGGCAAAGAGACATTTACCGGTGGATCTATGTTCCAACCCTCATCTATGGTCATAAACTTTAGGTAGTGACTAAAAGAAAAAGACACAAGTGGCCGAAAAGAGTTTTCTCTGCAAGTTGTCTGGGCTCTCCCTTTGGAAGAGGATGAGAAGCTCAGTCATCTGGGAGGGGCTCAGAGTAGATCTGCTGCTCCTTCACATTGACAGGAGCCAGTTCAGGTGGCTCGAGCATCTGGTTTGAATGCTCCTCTGGTGTGGTGTTCCAGACATGCCCAACTATACAGGGCGTGCAAGGAAGTCCTTGCCAGGTTTTTTTTACTGGGCCTTTCCACTGCATAACATCCATGAAACATAGTACGTAACGTATCAATTAGCCACCATTATGGTAGATAGGTGTGATTCCACCAGCCACAAGGTGTTACATTTTGGAAGCATCCCAGAAGCCTAGCGATACATTGCTTATGCTTTACGCGTTACGCCTCCAGAATGTGTCAAAGTTGATCTCGGATTTTTCCAGACACAAAGTCAAAGATAAAATAAAAGTCACATGCAGATTTCCATTTGAGTATATCAGCCGGGTTTTTTTTTTCAGCTGTGTTTTTCACAGAGATTTTTTTTTATATATTAGATTTTCTTTTGTAAATAATGGAGGAAATTAGAAAATCTTGTAGGAAGATGAAACTACCGTCAAGATTTGTTGAGGAGCAAGATGTGCTTGCTTTTCCATCACAAATGCAGTAAGTGTCTCTGCACTAAATATTTTCCAAGCTACATATGATCCACAGTTTCTATTCTCTAGTTTTTCTACTAATACGAACACTACTTACAGGAAAGCAAAACATCTACATACACCTGTGGCTGATTCAGGTGTGGAAGAAGATTTGCCATCACAGCTGCAGTAAGTTTATTTACAGTTCAAATGTGTTTCTAGCTTTATTTCTTTATTTCTTTTATTGTTTTCATGTTATAGTATTTAGTTGTAATGTCGCGAAATGGCCTGATTTTGAGATCCCACAGGTCAAATGCACAGCCAGGTCAACTTACCCTGGCTATGACACATCTTACTGTATTTTCCCATGACAGGAGTCAGAGAGTCTGCATGTAGCCCCTTTAATCAGAGTCTACTTCATCACACCAGCTGGACTGCAGAGATAATAAAACTTAAACAATAACATCTTGTCCTCCAAGGTCCATCACAGAGGAACTCTTTTAAAATAAACTCCTTTATTCCCAGAAGAAAAGAAGATTTTATAATTACACATAATCATTGAATGAACTTTTGTCATTTCTAATTATAAATAATGAAATGTTTCCTTAATCTGTGCTCAGTGATTGTTTAGTATGTTTACTTGAAAAGGTCATAACATTTGCACTCACAAGTAAGGTTAAGTTAATGCATGACTCATAAGGTGACCTTTTGCCTAAATTCGGAGTCTCCATCACAGAGGGTGTGTCTCTGCGATTCTTGGTAACATCCTCAAGTGCCAACTTCTAGTTGGCTATTCAAGATAACATCAATCCGTTAAAACTAGTTTTACTCTGGTTTTTCCCTGAGTTCAACTTCAGACAAAACAGTTCGAGTGTTCTAGAGAAAAGCTTCAGACCGGCCATATTTTGCATAACCTCTGGAACCACAAGGATTTTGACACATCTGTGGTGGTGCGCTACCAACACTATTTATAGTGGGGATGGTGTGCTGCTGACCTCTACTCAGGTCGTTGTGGATCGGTGGGCAGAATACTTCGACGACCTCCTCAATCCCACCGACACATCTTCCAGTGAGGAAGCAGAGTCTGGGGACTTTGAGTTGGCCTCTCAAATCTCTGGTGCTGAGGTCACTGAGGTGGTTAAAAATCTCCTCTGTGGCAAGGCTCCAGGGGTGGATGAGATCCGCCTGGAGTTCCTTAAGGCTCTGGATGTTGTGGGGCTGTGTTGGCGGCTCTGCAATATCGCATGGACATCAGGGGCAGTCCCACTGGACTAAGGGATGGTGGTCCCCTTATTTAAAAAGGGGGACCGCAGGGTGTGTTCCATCTACAGGGGGATCACACTCCTGAGCCTTCCTGGTAAGATCTATTCAGGGGTTCTGGAGAGGAGAGTCTGTCAGATTGTTGAACCTCAGATTCAGGAGGAGCAATGTGGTTTTCGTCCTGGCCGTGGAACACTGGGCCAGCTCTATGCCCTTAGGGGGGTCCTGGAGGGTGCGTGGGAATTTGCCCAACCAGTCTACATGTGTTTTGTGGATTTGGAGAAGGCGTTTGACCGCGCCCCTCGGGGGTCCTGTGGGGAGTACTCCGGGAGTATGGGGTACCAGGCCCTCTGACACGGGCTGTTAGGTCCCTGTATGACCGGTGTCAGAGCTTGGTCCACATTGCCGGCAGTAAGTTGGGCTCGTTCCCAGTGAGAGTTGGACTCCGCCAAGGCTGCCCTCTGTCACCGATTCTGTTCATAACATTTATGGACAGGATTTCTAGGTGCAGCCAAGGTGTAGAGGGCATCCATTTTGGTGGCCTGAGGATCAGGTCTCTGCTTTTTGCAGATGATGTGGTCCTGTTGGCTTCATCAGAACGTGATCTTCAGCTTCCGCTGCAGCGGTTTGCAGTCAAGTGTGAAGCAGCTGGGATGACAATCAGCTCCTCTAAATCTGAGACCATGGTCTTGATTCGGAAAAGGGTAGAATGCCTCCGCTGGGTCTTGCCCCAAGTGGAGGAGTATAAGTATCTTGGGGTCTTGTTCACGAGTGAGGGAAAACTGGAGCGTGAGATCGATAGTCAGATTGGTGCTGCATCTGCAGTGATGCGGGCGTTGTACCGGTCTGTAGTGGTGAGGAGAGAGCTGAGTCAGAAGGCAAAGCTCTCAATTTACCGGTTGACCTACGTTCCTACCCTCACCTATTGTCATGAGCTTTGGGTAGTGACCGAAAGAACGAGATCTCGGATACAATCGGCCAAAATGAGTTTTCTCCGAAGAGTGGCTGGGCTCTCCTTTAGAGATAGGGTGAGAAGCTCAGTCTTCCGGGAGGGGCTCGATGTAGACCCGCTGCTCCTCCACATTGAGAGGAGCCAGTTGAGGTGGCTCGGGCATCTGGTCAGGATGCCTCCTGGACGCCTCCCTGGTGAGGTTTTCCAGGCACATCCAACTAGGGCTGAAACGATTCCTCGAGTACCTCGAATAATTCGAGTACAGAAAATCCTCAAGTCAAATTATCTGCCTCGAAGCTTCGTTTAATTCATGTTTAATTAATTCATGGCTTTGCAATCGCCCGTGATCATGTTTCACCCAGACCGAAATAAGTGACGCACATACACACTGCACTGAATGCACACGCGAGTAGCGAACGCAACTTAACTTTCTCTTAAGCCACGGCGGACAATGTGGACCCTGGTGAAGTGCGAAAAAGACAGAAAATGTCAAAGGTGTGGGACCAATTTTCACGTAGTAAGGCGGAAAACGTACTCCAGTGTAAATACTGTAAAATGGATTTAGCCTACCACACCATATTCCTCGATGCTGCAACCTGACCAGGAAACATCCGCATGTAAATGTCACTTCTGCAAGGGGACTCGGAGCCTCTACAAGACAATGCATTTTAGCCTGTATTTCTATATATTCTGCAGACACTGTGTGACTTTTTCATTTGTAGCACTCAGTTTCAGCTCACACCGTACGTCTGGTAGCAACACGTCGGACTTAATATGTGCTAAAAATAGCAGTTTTTACAACACGTCAGACTTTTTACTGTGTTGTTATTGATGTCCGTTGTCCCTCGGGATTGCTGCAGGAGGACACGGGTATTATGAGTGGCGGAGGAAAACGATAGAAAGTAAATAAATGTTTTGTGATCTGTATAATTTGTCATAACCACGGCAAACATGCTTTCGACAATCCTTGTTAGTGTGAGACAAAAAAAGTGTAGAAATTAAAACGAACGTGTGTTAATAGGGAAACAGCTGGCGAGCCATGTTTGCGCATGCGCGGTTCTGGTGCTGTTTGGGCCGCAGCCGCTCGCATTTGTTTACTGTAAAGTTGAAGTGCTGAAGTTCTGAAAACTAATTTTGAATAAAACTTGAAGAATAACTGGCAATTGCTTTCTCATTTCAAGAGGTCTTTCATATTTTATAACATGCTATTTGATATAATGGTTTAAAAACGCAAAAGAGTAATTTATTAGTGTACTTGATTAATCGATAAAAGATTCGATAGAGTACTCGATTACATAAATATTCGATAGCTGTAGCCCTACATCCAACCTAAAGGTAGACCCAGGGCACGTCGGAGGTACTAAGTCTCTCACCTGGCCAGGGAATGCCTTGGGATTTCCAAAAGGAGCTGGCCCAAGTGGCTGGGGAGAGGGAAGTCTGGGCCTCTCGACTTGGGCTACTGCCCCCGTGACCTGACTCCGGATAAGCGGGTGAAAATGGAAATGGATGAGATTCTTCTGATGAAGGGCCATCCACCAACAACAGGCGATGTCAGGGACAGGGTGCTGCAGGAAATGCTCTACATCTTCAAGACGCCTGTAAAATGGAGGCAAAGCCCGATACTTTCGACGCACAGCCACCCAGATTTGTCCCCAAATGGACCCCTGGCTATCAGCTGCCTCTCACCACCAGTTTACCACATCTCTTTGAGAACTTTTTTGGTGAACAGGTACTGAAGCTCTTGTGTTCAAACGCAAACAAATATGCCAAGAAACAACAGGAAAGCAGGACACATTTTGTTTGGGAGGTCATTACTCCACAAGAGCTGAGGAAATACCTGGGCTTGTTGCTTTTTATGTCGGTGTGCAACCTCCCAAAAATAGATGACTTTTGGAGGAAAAACAATTTTTCATGTTCCTTTCCCTTCTTCAGTAATGTCCAGAGACAGGTTCAGAGCTATTGCAGCTAACATCCACCTGAGTGATCCACAGGAGGACCTGGCCAACGAGCAGAGGAAAGGAACAGAGGAATATGATCCCCTGCAAAAGGTCAGAGCTCTGCTGGAGGAAATACGAACCATAT